TGCCATAGTGCCTAACTGGAGCAGCTTCGATGCTCTCGGTGTATGAATGAATCGTGGCAAGCCGATATATTTTATCCTGCTCGAGGATAACATTTTGGGATTTTTTTTTTTTTATAGTGATCAGATAAAAATTATTAGTAACCACCAACAAAAACAGTAGGTTAAATACCCCGTGAAGAAAAATGTGATAAATAAGATGTTCCTGCATTCAAAATGAGCAGTCCTTGGGAAATCAAATTCGGCACTTTACGCTAAGGTTTTCCTCGCTGTACCCATTTAATAAAGTTGCTTCCAAGCAGATCCGACTGTCCGTGCTACATATACGTCACAGCTCCCTTCTGTTGATGACTTGCTGAGCCGCCACGCGTGCCAAGACTGAATGCCAGGGAAGGCGCGCACCGTCAGCCACTCTTCTTTTTTTTGTTCACGATACCGAACAACCTCATTTTCGTCCAGATATACAAGATGCACGCCTTTCAGTTTCTTTGATAGAACGCTCACCATTGTCCTGGCCGTCTGAATTGCGCTTACTGAACGTTCTCTCAGGTTGTTCAGCGTGGCCTGGTGCTTCACGAGTCCGCCAACTCCGTCACATGCATTTTTCCCATGTCCAGATGCAGAAGATAACCACTGGGCTTGTGGGCAATCGTCCTTTGCAAATTGGTGAAGCTGGTAGCGATTCTTGAAATGACTGGCGGCGCCGTCACTTACGTACGTCACGTACGAGTATACCGCAACGTTGTCTTCAACCCACTCCTTCACTTTTTCTAGAGCCAAGCAAGCGTGAGCGGCGTCGTGACACAGGTCCTCACTGATGATGGCAAAGCTGTTTGTAGATTTTCTTGTCGTCACTACACATGTAAATATCGAAACTTGTTTTTGTTTTTTTCCAGTGATATGCTTGCACTTCGTCAGGAAGCACGATGGTCCAGTTTTCAGCAAAGTCAAAATGAAAGACAATGCTCCCGCGTTGCATGCACTGTTTTTCATCGTAGATCGCTTTACCTTGCGTTTGCCGGATATATGGTTGTGAAGTAACCAACTTCCAACCGTCACTTGGATGACTTTTAGGAAAGTCTCAGGTTCCAAAGTTTTTTTTACAAGGTCGCCGGACTCCCATGTTGCAAGCACAATCTCTTCATCCTCCGGGATATCAAGTTCCTGGAGTGTAAGAAACTGGCCTTTTGGGCAGTGATCACAGTCTCCTTGAAGGCACAGTTCTGTTGCTGGGTCGCACAGAAATGCCGAGTTCATTTCACCAGTGTTGAATGTTGAGCCTGTAACGTTCTCTAGAGCGGCAATACAAAGATAATAATTGGCGCAGCGCACACAAACGCACACTTCCTGGTGTGGAATACATTGGACCCATCTAGGGCGCAACGAATAAAATTTCGTTAGCCCAACGTCGGAATCGGGATGCTTGTCTTTGTATATACGGAAGGCCTCTCGTATTGAGCGTGTCATGAAGCGCTTTGGCACGAACGTTTTCTCTCCGTTGAGCATGACAGAGATGACGTCCTTCTGGTTGGGACTTTGGCGCGAACATTGTAGCTCGTCTTTCGTGAAGTACTCTAGGGCAGCAGACAGGTTCTCAGGGCTCACCTTGCACCTCGTGTAAGGATCCGGCTCATACCACACGCCATGCTTTTCCTTGAGTTTTCGGGATTTACTGATGAGGTACATTGAGGCCTGTGGAATCATCTTTTGAACCTCATTCTTCGTCAGTGTTGACGGCAGGAGTGTAAGCAGTTGACAACGTTCCCGGAGAGAGGTGGCGGTTTCAAAGGCCTGCCGAAAGTTGTCCACCCACTCAGTGCATGTGGACCATGTTGGTTCGGACGACCCCGATGGTGCGTCCCTGTCGTACGCAATACGTAGCCTTGAGCGTATATTCTTGACAGCAACCTGCTCCAGTTCTGTCTGCTTTCTCTTGACATAGGCAGGCCTGTCCCGACTTCTTACGACGCTTGGTTGTCTCAGCGGCGACACATCTGTAGGTAGTATGCTGCGATTTAGATCTTCAATTGCTTCTTCAGCTGGCACAAATATGTCAGGGCACTGCTCTGAGCTTCGCATCGAGATCTCCTTAGTGATGTGCATGAAGCAATGGTAGCACAGGTAGTCCGTCGCACTCACTTTGGTGGAACAGTCAGGCGGAAGAATTTGCTTCAACGAGTTTAGGTCCAACTCGCCAACACTTCGAAAATTCCGCTGCTTTGGTATAGTCTTTTTGTGTTTGCAAAAGTAATCTGCACAAAACACTCGTTCGGAGCTCCAGGACGTCTTCATAATGTATACATAAATAATAGAAATTAAACCCCAACTGATGGCATATAATTGCCAAGTGAAAGAACTACTGGGTGCACAAGTGACAAGTCCGAGGCTGAGGAGCTCACTCACTGCAAACGTACATTTGAAAAGAGAGGTCACAACTGAGGCTGTCGGCAAAGCTTGATCCACGTCAAAGGAAGAAAGAGGGAAAGTCTCCAGACAAAAAATTGTGGTCAGCGGCCTTCGAAAAAGACTTTCCGGAATCGCACTGTCGTCCCTCCACGCGCTGATATGAAAGCACCCGAGCTTCTACCACGTGGTTCATGACACAGCCTGAGCCATGTCGGCGACCGGTTCGCGAGGGGTTGGCGGTGGGGTTACGTTGATGGTCACTCGGATTAGCCCTTGCTGTACTGAGCTACCGCCTGCAGTGCCTTATCGCCGGCTGGTGTCAACAACGAGAACACACACACCCTGTCTACACCAAAACTGCAAGCGTTCACCGCACACGCGTCGCCGCCGCTTTTAAGCTTTTGTGAAATTGCTTTCTTTTGCCGCGGAGAACCGCCTTATCTTAACTACGCGCCTGAAATCCTTCCAGGCGGGCGTACACAATATCAAGCGTTTCGAGAAATGCCCGTGGAGTAGAACGGTAGAACTATGGGAAAATTCGGAGCCCGCGATGTCGATATCGTCGCCGTTGTGTTAGTACGCCGTCGCGTACTGCAGTCCCCCGTTGGGGGAGGGGGGGGGGGGGGGGAGGGGCGGTCTTACTACGATAACATGGCGACAGCGTTTACACTCTATGTATTTACGCGAGGCTCGAGTATTTGGGGATAATGCTGCCGGTTGGTGTGCCCCTTTGTGCCTGATATTATCGCCCGTGACGCCAGCGAGTGAGATGGCGACAGGCATGACTGCTCAGTAAACAGGCGTCGGCGACCATGTTTTGCTGGTTGAAGCGAACCCCCTTGTCCTTACAGCGAGCGGGGAAATGCGAAAAAAAGATTGTATCGGCCGTTTTGCCAGAACTAGCGACGAGTGTCGTCTGCGGTTTCCGGCAACTATTTTGCCATAATCGTGAGCTTAGCGAGGAAATGATTTTTGCTAGCCACAGAACACTACCACGCAGAAAGGAAATGCTTGAACATGTTTTTGTTCTGGATATATATCAGGGATATATATGAGAGAGAGAGAGAGAGAGAGATGATGGTAGAGCGGAAGGGGGAATAGCATATAGTGTCGCAGGAGAATAAAGTAAACAAAGTTCCTAGTGGCCGATGGCTGCATGATCTTTTCTCGGATCGCTAGTCCGTAATATGATACCTCTGTGTGCACAGTAGTTTCTCCTTAATTTAAGTGTGTGAACGATTTCTTTAGTTATCATTGGCCTCATCTGAATAAAAATATATAAAAGATGTGTGTTGGTTTCATGAAACTGGAACTCAGAGTCAGTTCTTGTATAAAACACTGCTAAGTGTAGGCTTTGAAAAAGGACCCTACTTTGGGGAGTTGTATCTTCTTTCTCAATAAAATGATGCAACATGTTTTTAATGGAAATGAATGCCGAAATAGAGTATAACAGGTTACCTAAATTTAAAAAAAATCGAGGGTGGTGGTTTTTTTTTTTATTCGCATCGGAATTTTTCTTTGTTTGATTTTTTTTTCATGTTTGACTAAATATATCCTAACTATTGTATCACACAGATACCTTAGTTATTTTTTAAATATTAGCTATATATTAGTAGAATAATATCTGCACATTATATAATAATGATTAAATTATTTCATGAGATACAGACCTCCAAAGTTTGCCATTTGTCGTTCGAGCAGGCATGTTTGTCAATTTTTAGAAAAATAAATAAATTTTAAATAAATATGATTACTTTATATTACAAGCAAGCTATACCCATAGTTTGCGCCTAAAACGTATTAGAGTTCTTCTAATGTTATCGCTTTAGTTATTCACTCTCAAACGGGCCCCCTCCATCAGTGCGCGTTAATGCAACTGTCCACCACCTCATGCCTTACGATTTTTCCTGTCCCCAAATATTTTTTCTAGTCAAAACTAAGTTTGGATTCGTTCATACCAGACACTAGACAATAACATATAAAAACATCAGTTGATTTGAAAATGTCGACTAGCCATCCTTTGGTCGATCTTATCTGAAATCACCCAGTTACTGATCCGGTGTTACTCCGTCTTTCTTAATTTCCAGATGTTCTTCGTTCGTTTGGCACGTATATCCCCCAAGCTGAAAAGCGCCGACGTCGTGTTCGCGCTAACAGTGTCCGACAGTGCACATAAATACACGTACGAAGCTGTTTTAGCACCGTTTTTAATGCGATGAATTTGAAAGAAAAACACCGTAACTGACCAATTACTTCGTCGGCCTGACTGAGAAATGTTCCAAGCTACCTAGTACGTACGAATTATTCGGGATATTTGCTCTTATGATCGAGCGCAGAGAAATATGCACTCACTTTTTCCGCTTTTTCCCATAGAAATGCATTACCGGAAGTCAATTTTCGACTGGTTGCTGTCTGCTTCAATTTGCGTCAGCACACTAGCGCCACTTGAGCCTCTAGCGTACATTATAATCACTCTATAAAAAGATCAACCTTTGGTTCTTTTTGGTTGTAGCACTAGATGGCGCCAGCTACCGCCTAGTTATAAGGGTATAGCCATAGCCGTTAGCATTTGTCTCTGGCATTTGTCCATTCATCCAGCCGAAACCTTGTTCCTTGTTTTGAAGGTTTTGAATCTGACCGCTGCCTAATCTGCTATCTTGTTTCCGGACGTCTCATGCGAAGTTCTAAAACGCTGAATTAAAGTTGTAAAGCGACGGAGCACCGGAGAAAACAAAGTCAGCCTCAAGTTCAGTCATGTTAAGTGCGAACAAGGGAGGGGCTCAGACTCAGTCCGCTCAGTTTCTTCTGCCTTTCTACCGAATCCTCAGCACCCGCAAAGTTTGGTGGGGCCTGGGGTTCTTCAGTGTCCGACTTCTGCCGCAGGACTTGGCCGGCGACATCGACAGGAGGCGAGTGCTGCTGCACTTCGTCTCGTCCGCCAAGCCCGTGGCGACCTGCAAGGTAACTCTGGCTGTCAACGACGTCCAGTTCGCCGACGTACCGCTGAAAGTCGTCAACGTGAGCGGTCACGTAAAAGCCGGCATTAATTCCATCTCGATCTCGGGCTCTGGCATCCCCAGAGACTTGTGCGTCGGAGTTCTCGTCGTGGACAGGACCGAAGACCTCAAGCTGGTCGCTCCTCTCGCCGACGACGGCCAGGGCATCCACGACGTGTCCGCCGCCAAAGCCCTGTCCGCTCTCATGGACGACAAGGAGAACCGGGACGCCATTGTGGACTGTGCTACGGTGTCGCTTAACTGCCCGCTGAAGAGAGCGCGGCTCGTGGTACCCTGCCGCGGCGCCGACTGCCGGCACGTCCAGTGCTTCGACGCATTGGCCTACCTTAGGCTGAACGAAGCCACCGTCCGGCCCCTTTGGCGGTGTCCCGTGTGCGACAAGGACGTTGACGTGCGGGCGCTCCGCCTCGACCTCTTCACCCTGGAGGTGCTGCGGCAAGTCGCCGAGTCGTGCGACGCGGTGAAGCTGTTCGGGGGAGGGCTCTGGACGGCGGTTGACAAGCGTGCCGACGTGATTTGTATCGAGGACAGTCCGGCGAGGCCGCTCAGGCTCGTCAATAGGGAACTCGAGGTGTCCTTCATAGACCTGACGGCTTCTTTCACGGAAGACGCCTAATCGGGATGCGTGCGCTTGTTTGCGGGATTTTAGTGTTACTTTCTTTTATAAACCAGAGTTCAGGTTGAGGTAAAGCTTTGGGCTTGTGTCACTGCTCGAGCTCATGCTCGCAGGTTGTAGACGCTAGTAGCACATGCCAGCTATATTTGTTTCACCGTAACTTGGCAAACGCTACGGCCCCTTTGAGCCAATCGGAGCGACGGAGGTGAAGCGCGTGACATCTCATACCAAAAATAGAGGTGCGAGAGCATAACCCAAGCAGTTGGAGAGGGGCTAAGGGGAACACTCTCTTACCCCCCTTTGTGTCCCAGACGTCTCTTTTGCCCCCCAGAAAGTTAGCCCGTGGCTCAACACTCATATAAAAGTGGCTTTCCACTCTGACCCATCCGGGGCTTTGACAGCGCCGGGCAGAATTAGTGCAGTGTAGTATATACCATGTGTCTCTTTCTGACGAGCTGATTGGCTAGCTGGCTTCGTAGCCTTTGCCGTTGGCCAAGTTACGGTGAGGTGGAGTATGGTAAAACTTGGCATAAATGTACCCTGAGACTGAGGTGAAGGAAGAGCTTTGGAGTCTCGGGTGGTTTCGCAGCACGATGGAGTTGCAAAGTACTCGAAGCACTTTTCCGAGCATTCTAGAGACGGAAAGCCACGCTTGTGGGACTTGTCTTCCAGGAGACAAAAGCCGATGTTGGGTCCCAGGCCAATGCAAGTTGCATCACAAACAATGTGGCATGCAGCTTTATCAGTGCCATCTGCTATGTGCCGTACCATTGCATCCTAAATACTTTTGCTGCCTGGCAGAACGGTCTCCGGAAGCTGTCGTGCGATTGCTCGGGGCGACCGCATCAGGGCACTGTGCTAACAGCGTCTGCTTAGAGAGCCTAGATTGAAATAGCGTCAAAGTGATTTACACTGTGGCAAACAGCTGATTGTGACCTGAAAGGCATTTGTCATTAGTGAGAAGTCAGGCTAATGTGGAGCGCAAGTTCACCTGCTTGCGCAGAAGTTCCAGTGACGTCAGAACGACACCGAGCTCTGATTGGCTTTAATTGAAAGGATAGTGGGTAGACCTCAATGCTAGTTGCCTTGAAGTCTGCCCACTCTTATTTTCAATCAGCCAATAAGAGCTGAACGTTCTGACATCATTGCGGCCCCTGTGCAAGAAGCAAACCTGCACTTCGTAGTAGTTGTTCGCTATCCATTTTGCTTGAGCAGTTCGGAGGCACACATTTTTTAAGATTTTTTATAGGGGCTGGCTGCATTTGGGGGGGTAGTTTAGCCTCATAAGCACCCATCTCCAGTTACACCCAATGTCTAAACTAATGGCAGCGTCAACGTTGCACAATGGCAAAACATTTTGACACCGCAGAATATGCAACTCTAAAACTGCACAGCACAGTGATGACATTCCGAATTTGGTGGTGTCTTGTGTCTACCATTTTGAAGAAATTTTACAGTTTCTGACAGATGCCACTCTCGAAGGGAGTCTGTAGAGCATTCCAGAAATTGGCTGCTTGTCAATGCCATTTTGAGCATTCATTGCTTTTTTTTCTTAGGCAACATGACATACATGCGCATTCTAGGCTGGGATTTTGTAAACATGACATGTTCTATACCAGAAAAACATCTTCAAGAGCATAGTGTATGCAGGCAGCCGGGAATGGGCTGAGGAGGGCCTCTGTGCATGTACAACCTCTGCTCCCATCACGCTTGCAACGTTCGGCATTCTAGGAGATGTCTCAAGCGCATAAAGGTAACTTTGGCAGGCTTGCAATTGCACATTCTTGCTTGCACGAGCAGAGACATGGTAGCAGCCATGTCTCTGCACAGCTTGCAATAAGGATCATTCAGTGGCGGCCATAGCTGTGTGCACAATTGCTGAGAGCATGCTGAAGGCGAGCTTCCATAGTTCCTTTGCAAATGTGCATTCCATGCCATCAAGATTACCAGTCTTGTAAGCCTAGTAATGCGAGCTCGTTCTGAGCATGTGCTCTAAACATTGCCCCCAAATACGGCGTCCACTGATGCCATATTTCTATATGGCATCACTAGCACTATAGGGTGCTAGTGATGCCCTATAGTTCCAAAAATCCCTGCATGCAACACTGGGCACGTTGCATTATGGGATCTTTTTGACCATGGAGAGGAGTGGCAAGGCCATAACGTACTGTAATCTTGACCTGCCCACAGAATGGCTCCCTATGAAAGACGCTGTCACTGACGAAGTGCATCGCTTCGCCGTTTTGGCGTCAAAAAGGCTTTTCTACGACCCAAACTTGGTTTACGGTCTGTCTAGCGTACAATCCGCACGGCGCGCAGCTGTTTCTGTTTCTCAGAAACGCCTACCGTAACGTGGCACCAGCATTTTCCAGTAGCCGTAGCAGGTAGCAGCGTGCATCGCTCTCATGTTTGCTTAAAGGGTCCCTGCAAGGACTTTTTTACTGGTTTTTAATTTGCACCGAACCTGAGTGCACTGAATGTAGTAACGTAATGAAACTTTTCTTGAATTTCGCTTTATTTAAAACAAGCAAAAAATAACTTTCTTTGTGATGTCCTTGGTTGCTTGAGTGGCCGTGAACTAGAGGAGGTGTAGTGAGCTCAGCGAGCGCTCGCGGCTGCCGCACTCCATGTCGACGGCTCGAGAGGGCACCACTAAAGCATGTTCTGGATAGGCTGTCTCAAGTGGGCAGCCAGGGCGGCTCGCATTGCATTTGCTGCGCGATTAAACATTAATTCGGCATGACACTTCATTGGCCCCAAACGGCAGCAAACACGGGGTAAAGATCAGTTCAGAAAGAGAGCCACTTCGTGCTGCCATGCCGCCAAGCGGCCAAACTGCAAGACAAACCTCCTTGCCGAAGGCCTTCAGAACACTGGGAATTGGTCGGATCCTCGAGCCCGTAACGACTGCAGCGCCGCCGCGTACATCCAGGACCTTTCTATGCTTGCTGCTCGTCAGTGCCTGATCCCACTACCCTTTTCTAATATGTGGCGCCTTTTCCACTGCTTGGTGGCAAGTATGTCGACGAGTCTCTTCTTGTTTCCGTACTTTATAAACTGCATTTGTTTCTTTTCTGATCTAAAATACTGAACAAAAACTACTTTCATACATAATTGAAACGGTTCGCGACACTTATATTTTGTATCGACTAAAAAAAAAGCTTTTAGCGGCTCTGACCAGTAGTAAGCCCAGGACCAAAGACGTCACATATTCCGCGCTTTCGGCAACGCGGGTCGCCCTCGTAGGTGGAGACTCACTGATATATGTTACTCTCTTCGTGCCTGCTAGCTTGCTCAAATCCCAAGGGACATATAAACCACAACAAAAGTAGACACTTAAATATGATAGCAGGGCCCCTTTAAATTGAAAGAGCGCTTTTCCCGGGCACGGAAGCGCAAGGAAATAAGGCGCTTTCTCGGATCAGCCATTAGTATCCACTGTGCTGGCAGCCAGCGCCTCAAGCGACGAATCTGTAACGCAATTACCGACTGGCGACTCGATCCCGCGAGGCCCACAAGTAGAGTAGGTGAGGACGAGATAAGGTCGCCGCACCTTGCACTCCTTTGATTGGTGTGCGGACACCCTAGTAGACAAAAAATCCTTTGTGCAGCGCCGTCGTAGCGTGACTAAATGTTGCGGCCGCGGCTACGTATTACAAGGTCTGCACTCGCACATTCTTCTGTGGGCAGGTCAGGATTGAAGTAGGTCGTGGGCATGGCTTCGATTTCGCTGCGCCATTCTCCAAGTAGTGCATTTCGGCACTGGATAAAGATAAAGTTGACTCTCGCTTGCATTGCCCCCATTCATTTTTGTGAGAACCCCCATTGAAACACGGATGTCCAGCAGCCGAGGAATAGGAGTAAGGCCTGCCGCGTCCCATACGCAGCATGGCCCTCCCGCGGATCACGGATCTTTTAAAGAGCCTAGCACATTAAGACGATGGAAAAGGCTGATCGGTCCAGTGAAATTCTTCTTCCTTTGTTTACCTACGCACAAACTCTGGTGTATCGGGAGCTTCAAAAAACGCGCCCCAGCATTTTTTTTTTGTATTGGTAGGCAGCACTATAAATGCGAGGGAAGTCACATATTCGAAAATGCATGCACTGTATTTGTTCCCAACGGGATGTCGTGAATTAAGGTTGGCAAATCGAAATCGAAACGGTGGGCAAAAGGTACCCAAGATAGCTTTGCGCAGCACTACGCCAGGAGGATCGCTTTGATTTTGCGAGAGGTCTATTGTATTCGAGACAATCTGGAATGGATCGCTGCCAAAGCTGAGGGGCACGACCTTACGAGACACAGTCCCCAAGTGCCATACCGTTTAAGCAATAACTTCAGAACTTTGGATTTGAGTAAGCTGTAGAACTCGCCACCGAACATAGTTTCTGTGCCTGCCACGTGGTGTGTCTTTATTGTGGAAAAGGTCCATGCTGAAAATTAAAGGGGTGTGACTGCCATTAGAGCATATACATTTTTACCTTAGGCGTTGTTCTTGCGGGACAAAAAACTTCCCCCCGCCTAACTTATTGGTAGCGTGCGCAAACTAAAGGGGGCACTTCTCTAGCTATCATTAGCATCGTCTGTGACATCACGGGTAGGACAGACTGGGACAGATAGCACAGATCTTTGGTCCCTCGGCTCGTGAGCTCGCTTCATGCGTCGTTTGGGTACCACGCGGCACATGAAGCTGTTTCGCGCATTCTGTTTATTGGGTGAAGCTATATTTGTAGTAGAACATTTTACCAAAGCTTGAAACTGTGGCACGCATAGTCACACTAGCAAATGCCTTTGGTAATGAGGTGTCGAAGTGCTGGGATGGTGGTGTGTTGTTCTCTACCACAGTGCAAAGTGCTGGATGCTGAAAATAGAATATCCAGCACTTTACACCACTACAATGTTTTCCACAACGAATAGGGTGTGTCTTTTATTAGGATTCGGGCGAAATATAAATCTGAGCATGGAATGTATCTTCAAGTTGAAAATAGGAAAGCGAAGCTCGAGAACCTCTCGTGTTTGTAGAAAACACTTCAGTGAAAGTGATTCCGTGTATCCTGTTGGTTACAATGTGTCTTGTGAGTGCTTGTCTCTTATTAGTTCCAAGTTGATTCCTTTTTGGTTTTTGTAAACCAGGACACAAATATTTTCTCAAAATAACAGGCAAGAAGAAGAATTGGCTGACTAACAGAGTTGTTTCAATTAAATAGCTGCTTATTCCCCCTGTCAATGTGAATCAGCTTCCCAAACGATTAGGTATACACCTGCTACAAATTACTATCATTTGTATGTTTAATTTTGTGGACCCAAATGTGCATATGCGTGGCATGCTTCTCGGCGAGTGATTTTCATTTTGTTAATTCTTACTAAAAATTGGATAAAACAAATTAATCAATTGTCCAAATTAGCTGGGCCATGTCCGACAATTTAAAATTTTTTTAAAAATCTCGTTTTTTTTTGTTTTTTTTTGAGCAGAAGTTGTGATGGTGACGAACTTCTAATTGCCACACATTCAATACGGGAGGAAGCTAAGCATCAGTTGCTGATGAGCATTTGCTTGTCGGCAACTGTCGAATCACACTTGGATAGAAGCGTCAGTATCGGCAAGCTCAATGTAGCTAAAATAGGTATGTGTTGCTTTGCAACAACTGTGTGTGCACAGCTGAGAAGACAGCACGTCATTTACTCTGGGGAATGCAAAACCTTTTTCTACGGCAGCCTCCACAGATAAAAAAAAACAAAAATCAGAAAGGCTGTAAATAGCTCTGACGCACGCTGCGCAAGCTGTAATGTGAAGCTCCAGGCTTGTTTTTGAATGATGCTAAAGTTGAGCTCCGTCATAGGAGGGCGCCCGGGAGGTAGCGACACCAAACATCAAATTGCCAATACTTCACTTTTTTTTTTTTAACGGGTTATTTTTTATTCTTTTCCTTTTTGTCTATTTTATTTTTAAAAACAAAATAAAATGAAAATGATTTTTACCAACAAATAACAAATTATTCACTAGCGTCACCTATCCTGTTATCTCATGTTTTAAAAGTACAATAACTTGAACAGTCCCGTGAAAGTCATAACACGGCTTGTAAGTGTTTTTCGCAAAGTGGGAACGCGATTTAGCCTCGTGAATAGTTAATTAAAAACGCTGTCCTTTAGACTGTGCGTGATTATGTTTAAAGGCCATTCACTTCCAACGTAGGTAGCAAGACTTCAGACAGAGGGGATGCTATTCAAAGCCCGCTTCCTTCTGTAGGCCTAATACTACAGGTGGACATGGCGAGGTTAGTTGGATTTCGCATGATCAAAACTTTTCTCTTCAGCGCGTGCACTTCGTTCGCACGATTTTCTGAATTGTCGATTGAACTTTGGTACATTTCTTTGCAGTTGCACCTGGTTGTAAGAAAAAAAATTTTTTTTTTTGTCGTCTTAGCCTTTGTTTTGCCGTATACGATGTGCCAAATCCGGCACGATCTCACCTGACGAAATAAAACGCGTTTAGCCCTGTCAGCGTTTACGTGCTGCTAATACCACTCCTGCGCAGCGTACAAAGCCTACCAGGTTTTCTCTGTTTTTGGATATTTCGCTCGAGCTAGCGGTACATCTGATCGTTCAAATTCCCGCGGCCGAGTTAATATCGCACTGACCACAACGTTTTGGCATCCTTCATTTCTTTTGCCCCTCTCTGCCAGAAGCACCGAAGATGACATCTTGGACGACGACATCCAACTGAAGGTAACTGCATATTTTACCGGTCTTCAATGTCCAACGATTCAAACATTTTTTCTCGTGTTTTCTTTTTTTTTTTTTTAATTTTTTATTATTGCTGTTTTAGCAATATTCTGTTTGATCTTTAGTTCCAGCGGGGCCAAAAGCTAGTTTCAACAAAAACGCGGACGAAGAAACACGAAAAATGTCTTGATCTAGCGCTTTCTGAGGCAAGTTTATTGGCCTCATTGGCTCGTAGCGTTGGTAACGCGCGGACTTAAGATCAAACGGGTTGTAGTCATCCGAATCTTCAAAAAGCGAGAAAAAACTCGCTTGCATTGAGGAGTTCTTTTGGGTGAGTCAAAGGAATCGATGGCTGTTAGAAGGGACTGCATAAATCAGTTTGTGAACGTATTGAGCTACAATTGTTTAGAGAGGAGGCTGAAGAGCGTGCATTAAGGGTACAAAGTTCAACCGAACAAACTTGCCCAAGTAAGAAGTTGGAACCGAAAAATGTGGCATTCCTACCTACGCGACCGTCTTCTGAAGAAAGGCGTCTGATTGGCGCAACAACCAACAGAACACGGCACATAAGACGGCAGGCGGTATGCCTGAGCTGTGGTTGCAGAAGAAAACACGGTACATGGGCATGTGGAGGGGGAGCGCAGGGCCCCCTCCGGATGCCCATGTGCCGTGTCGTCGTCTGCAACCATGGCATGGTTCAAGCATACCGCCTGACATCTTAGGTGCCGCCGTCTGTCGGCTGTAACGCCAATAAGACGCCTTTCTTTAAAAGATGGCCACTGTAGGTAGGGATCTAATGTTTTTTTCTTTCTAATCTTTATACCCTTATTGCATGTTCTCCAGCTACCCCTCAAGAAAATTTGAGTTCAGTGCATTCTGAAATTGATTTGTACACTTCCTTCAAACAGCCATCACTTCCTTTGACTCGCCCTGTACATGAGTTGCCCCTAATCTTGATTTCATTCTTCCTATTATTTTTTCAGGGGGGAAGGGGGCGAGTTCACCACTTTTTTGGTCAGATGATTTGAGCACATGAACTACCCTTTCCATACATCCCACTTTACTGGAACTGTCCTCCTACCCTTGTTGCATCAATCACTGAATCAGTAAATCTGTGGGATTGGTGGCCGACTGTGTTGACACACCTGAGCTCGGAACACATGGAGCGAAAGCTTGAACCGCAGAACCCAGGGATCCTGGGTCTGGTGTCCATCCCTGTTCGTTTCAATCTGGATGAGCGTCGTACCAGTGTAATGCACATTAAAGGATGGTATTGCACTCGCTAAGTTTGGGGCTGACAAACTTGTTTCTATCTTAGCATGCAAACAACAAGCAAAACAAAAAATTAGTCAACCTGCACTTTTAAGTAATTCAAAACAATGTGCAAGGATTTTTAATCTGCAATTGATGTCTCCATTAGCTCACTTCCTACTGCAAAAATGTTCCAAAAGCCGGATGAATTAATGATTGAAAAGGTTTACTCCGAGTTAACATAACAAATTAATAACAAAAGTTGCAGGCATTTCGCCACCTGTAGGAAGAAAGGCAGTATACACTGACTTCCTGCTGTCCAAAATCCTGTAAAAATAGTTTTCTTTTAGTACATGTAGTAGTGTTTGAAGACAAAAGAAATAACTGGACAACTACTGTCCAGTTCTCCACTTTTTGTCTCTGTTTTCAAGTGCTCCCGTATATTCTCAAATTCAGCACCAGCTTGCCCTTCAATTGGCGCTATTTATATACCCTTCAATTCAAACAGACTTGAAGGCAGTGTACATTTTATAACCCTGTTCCTGATGAAACCTGATTGCTCCTGTTCTTAACTGTCCATCCTCTACCTTCTTGGTGCTCCTCAGGACGAATATGAGCTTGACCTTGCGGATGAAGAGGCACTCCTGGAGCTTGACGACGACGAAGTGACCACCTCTAGTGCCCGTACGTCAGCATTTTCTTCGATTCCTTTTAGTGATTCCTTTTAGTCACGAGACCAGAGTTTCTTAAAGAAAAAGTGAAGGCAGTCTTAAAGGGACTGGAAATTGGTTGTTTTTCTTTTACTTTAGCTAGCGCTCAGATTAAACACTTCGTGGAACGGGTGTCAAGTTTTGTTTGCATGCATTGGCTCTCTCCAATAGCTTGACGAGAGTACACCGCAGAGTGGCGGATGTTCGCGTCTTGGCACCGCCGTCTGCTAGCATTGCGCTCCTTGCGAAACGCTGCAAGACACGCTGCCGTTGACGCAGAGGCGAGCTGTACCCCGTTGCAGGTTAAGAAAAGTGGGAGAATTTCCTCCTTTGAAACCCTCCCCTCTTTCCCCTATGGCAGAGCGGGCGCTGGAGAGTATGCGAGTCTTTCCTTGCCTCCTCTCCAGCGTCCGCTGTGCCAAAGTAAAAAGAGTTGGCGGCTTTGCGGGAGGTGCTTGTCCCGCTTTCTTTGACATGCAACGGACTATAGGTGGTGCTGCGTAGATCAGCCGGTGGTGACGTTTGGGGGAAAAGGTGCACCCCTTGTCTTCCAGATGGTATCTCCCCCCACACAAACATTGGCTTGTGTCAAAACAGAATTTATGAGGTTCACATTGATTGATATCCTCTCTCTTGTGGAATTCATGTTTATCTGTCACCAGTGTTACATTCGGCTGGGGCGCACACAGCACCGATGAAAGCGCCACTCCGAGGCAGTGTCGGTGTTTCAACGCAGCACACGACGCACTACCAGGCAAACGCAAAGCATTTCTGCTTACGAAGCGCTCGGGAGAACGCTTCACAGGCGGAACGTAAATAGGCAGTAGCCTCGAGAGAAACAGCTACCCGCGGTGGGTCGGTCAATTCGTGGCTCGGGTCATCTAGAGAATCGGCTTGTGTGCCTACGGACAACTTTCTGCGGCATTTTTGAAGAAGCCGAGAGCGTGCAAGCTTCGAAGGGCGCCCGAGACGTGCACATGCACCCATAGCTCCAACTGCATAGCCACGGGAAGTTGTCTGTCAGTTTGGCCGTGTCGTTTGTCTAAATTGCCACACTAGGAGATTTCACCGCACCTACACCTTAAAGGGGCCCTGCAATCATATTTAAGCGTCTACCTTTTATGCGGTTTCCACGTCTCTTGGGGTTCGAGCAAGCCAGCGGGCACGGAAAGAGTAGCTAAATATCAGTGCGCCATATTTTAACTGGACGACACGGAAACCTCCTCCACCGACGAGGGCGACCCGCGGTACCGAAAGCGCGCAAAATGTGACGTCTTTGGTCCTGGGCTTACTACTGGTCAGAGCCACTAAAAACTTCTTTTTGGTTGAAATACAAAATATAAGTGGCGCGAACCGTTTCAATTATTTATAAAAGTAGTTTTTGTTCACTATTATAGATGAAAAAAAGAAAGAAATGCAGTTTATAAAGTACGGAAACAAGAAATGACCCGTCAACATACCCGCCGCCAAGCGGAGGAGAAGGTGGCGCATACTAGAAAGGAGTAGTAGGATAAGGCGCTGACACGGAAAAATCCCGGATGTACGCGGTGGCGCTGCAGTCGTATGGACAGGAGGACCCGACCGGCTCCGAGCGTTCCGAAGGCCTTCGGCGAGAGGCTTTGTCTTGCGGTTTGGCCGTTTCGCGGTATGGCAGCGCGAAGTGGCTCCCATTTTTAACTGATCTTTAGCCCGTGTTTGCTGTCGTTTGTGGCCAATGAGGTGTCATGCCGAATTAGTGTTTAATCGCGCAGCAAACGCAATGAAAGCCGCTTTGGCTGCCCGCTGCATACAGAATATCCGGAACATGCTTTAGTGGCGCCCTCTGGTGCCGTCGACACAGAGTGCGGCGGCCGTGAGCGCTCGATGAGCTCACTATTCCTCGTCTAGTTCACGGCCACTCAAGCAACCAAGGACGTCATGACGGAGGTTCTTTTTTGCTTGTTTTTGTAATTTTAATTTGCCTATAACTTTTAAAATAAAGCGAATTTCGAGAAAAGAAAAGTTACATTGAGTTACTACGATCAGTGCGTTCAGTTTTGGTGCAAATTAAAAACCAGTAAAAAAGTGATTGCAGGGCCCCTTTAATATATATACATTTTTTTTACTGCGCTTCATCTAGAAGGTTGGTTCATGCACTTGTGTTCAGTTTCGACCGAGTGCCTCGTGCATCCTTGCTCTCGCGATGAGAGGCCACGCCGACTCCATCTATTGAGCGTCTCTGGAACGCGCATATATTTTTTATCTGTCTTTCAGCATGAGCTTAAAAATCTTTTCACAGTGTTATAAACAACCATTTCTCATAGCTAGCACGTACCTCTATCTCGTCAATACTGCATAGAAGACCTTCACTTTAGTCAAATGCAGTTCCAGGGCTACCTCAGAGATGGTGCCGCGTGCCCATGTGTTCTCTCTTCCCAAGGCTGCACAGTGCGCTCGTCCGCAACCAAATGCAAGCGTGCGAACCAGCCCCGAAGCGTGTCTGCATTCGACTGCATCTTGACGAAGCCGTATCATTTGCGCGCGTGCGCAGGGGACCCCTCGTCTGGCGACGACGGCGTGCAGTATGTGGACGAGGAGGGCAACCTGGTGTCTCTCCAAGACGGCGACACGCTCGTGGTGGTGGACGAGTACAGGTACAGCAGAGACAGGTAGCTGCCGTCCCCCGTCGTTCGTAGATTGGAAATGAAACTCGAGCGGGTTACGTTGCGAACCGACGGAAGGTACGTGGTACGCCTAGAGCTACTGGACGTGCTACGCTTAGGAGCATTGCCAGGTTGCTGCGAGCGCTATTCAGCCTTAAACTCGAAAATCCCGAGCACCTCGTCTGTAGGTTTGGCGAGTCACGAATTAGATTCGAGAGGCGTTTCGAGCCGATTTCGAAACCTGCAGAACTGTTGTCCTACGTCGGACTGCAGTGTAACTAAGAGAGTAATCATCGGTGACGGAAGTGCTGCTCCATTTGGGTCAAATTGGGACACGAACGAATGTCTGCGATATCTTGCGCCAAAATGCCCTTGTTTGTTCAGAACTGCGCCATTTGCGGAGAGTGGGCTTTTACAAAAATAAATACGCAATTATTGGTCAAGCCTAGTATTCGGAGAGGTAGGAGGAAGGGAAAATGGTGCAAATATATTTTGTGCGTCTTTACTTGCTGTGTAGTTTGTTTCATCTGAGGTCGGATCACAGTCGAAGGCTCGAACAGGTAAAGTCATGAACACACATGCTAAAAGTGCAAGTCTTGAGACATTCGCTGCACTTAAATGTATTCGAGGCGACTTCTCAGTGTAGATTACTCCTTCATTCAAAATCTGTCCATGGTGGTGCAAAAGCAGCAGTGAGCTCAGCTACGGCTGCCAGTGAATACCACCTATAGGAAGATGACAACTGCCACAATGTTGCTCTTGTATGCTTCCTAATTGTTCCCACTGGCTCGTATTGACTGCACTCTGGGTGAAATTTTTGTCTTACCTTCAGTCGTGACTACCAACACAAATTTCTCAGCATACTGCACTGGCCGCATAATGCGCTGCCTGGTTTGTCGCCAACATCGGCTAAATTTCCAGACGATGTTTGCTATATCAGGAGCTGAAAGTTGCGGGAAAGCTTTCCAAAATAGTGGGATAGCGGATTCTGTGATAAGACAGTACCAGGGTCATGTACTTTTAATGAGATTGTTTGGTTATCATGTCTGCCACATGCAACGAGATAGAGGGCCATGTTGTGCAATTTTGACCACTAGACTCGTGACCGTGCCAAATCCTGAGGCTTTTATGCAAAACTGAGCCGAGATTTATATCGCAGTCACTGTAAAAAACATGATTAACCTTTTTTCCCATGCTTTTAGCCCCAGAGATCAATGTCTAGCTCCGATAAAATCCCCAAATACAGCACCGCGGCTGTCGCCATCTAGTGGAGGCATTGCGAAGCCGCCCGAGTTTTGGTCGCAAAAGCACATTTTGGACTTAAAACAAACTAAACATAATTTATCTCGTCGGTACCGTTATTAAAGATAAGTTTGTGCGCGGTACTTTGTTGAAATTTAGACGTAAAACTATGAGGTCGTGTGTCCAGTGATCAATAATGTGCAACATGGCGGTGGTCAATTGAGAGTCACTTTCAGCTGCCAGTTTATCGCTCTAAGGCCCTCTACCTCGTTGGCCACATGCCTTCATGCCGTGACTACAGAGTACCATGGCACTCGCACTGACAGGAGTGCGAGGAGTGGCGGCTGACACGGGGGAGCACTGGGTAGTGAGATAGGCTCGGAAATTGCGCTCAGTACTCTTACAGGTCTACCTTGTTTGGTCTTGATTGTAGGTTGACATCTCATCTTAAAAGCTGTGCCGTAAAGATAAAAAAAATCACTGGTCTACATTTGGTGAAATACATTAACCAAGCTAGTTCCCTAAAAGTTGTCGATCAGGGGCAGCGAACTTTGACTCGACTGGGGTTCCAACATAGCTAAAAAGCAGTGTCACATTTAAAGTGCAAATGTAGGCTCTCTCAATATTTCTGGCTGGTTGTTTTTGCAGTTCATGATGTTGAAGTCTCGAGTTCAGTAGGTTGATAAAACCTGAGGTATGAATTTTTATTGATAGACATGTTAGCAGATATGCTGGTTTTTGTTGGCATTTTACAGAAATTATATTTTTTAGTGCTAAATAAGCTATTGACCGTAAAAGGACCGGGGCAGTGATGCTTCATCCAAACTTAAGTGTTGCGCTATGATTCGTTTTTCAACCCCCTTTTTAATAGCCGTTGTAAATGGAACCTACTTTGACCAGTGGCTTATTTCTAGGATGAAAGCTTTGTGTTCCTATTGTGTCCTCTCTATTCTTATTACGAAAGGTAATAAGTAATGTGCTCCATTGTCAAAGAGGGAATCCTCACTCATCATCAAAGATGAACTCGTTTAGGAATGCAATCACTTTTTCATTCTTCAATGATATGCTAGCAGGCTCCAAAAAGGTTGGTTGCTGCCATAAACCAATTTGCCTGCTACAGCAACTGCTTCCAAAAGTCAACTGCCGGTTCCATCGCTGTGTAATACAGCACAATTAAGTGATGTCCTTCGGCGATTCCCTTTCTTTCATTCTTCCTTCTTTCCTTTCTCTTTGAGCATAAAGAGAAGCAACTCGTATGGCGTTCCAGACGCGCAGGTGTTTGTGACAACCACACAACGCGTCTGAAAGATCCCGGCACCCTAGCAAAATGGTCCTTCTTTATCCTCATTTCGACATGCCTTCAACCGGTGCTTTGAGCGTTGATTTGGGCAAGAGGTGTCGCGTCCAACGTTCGTCGGTCATTTTAATGCAGAATTTGTTTTGTTGGTCGAATTCTGAGGCCCGCTTCACATGGGGTAACTTTCTCAGTATTTTTGGGGTTGCTTGCAGGTTGTTCCCTAGCTTTCCCTAGATGGACAAAAACTGCTGAGATCGGGTCCAACTCAAAACCAGTGAGCAACTTGAAGCAACTCGAAAAACTTTGAAGCGGTAGTAGCCAATGAGGGAAGCAATATTTTCACGTGATTCCCCGTGCCGGCGATGATGACAACTAAAGACTTGGTTCTAGCTTGAGATTGGTCTTTTTTGGAAATAAACCCTTTCAGAAAGATAAGTTAGTATTCTCATTGCCACGTAAAGGTATAAAAACATGTTTATACCGCGTAACTGTGTGTCTAAATAGTGCAAGAAAAGTAACATTTAATGACAAAAATGGCAAATTGCAACAGCTGGTTGCTGCATGTCCACGCGGGCGGACTACGTTGCTGGTGTTGCTACGTGAAATTGCTCGGACAAATTTCCTCGTGTGAAGCGGGCCTGAGAAAATTGTAATGAAGGACCGTCGTGAAGAGCCAGCCTTCACGAAGAACCGTCACAAAACATTGCGACGTCCCGCAACCCCGACGTCGCAATGTCAAAGGACTCCGTGGTGTCACAACGTCGCATTACTATGATGTCACAGATTCACACCACTCGCATGATGTCACACTGTCATCTGACATCCCATGACCTCACGACTCTGACTTCGCAGTGTGACATTACGTCACAATGTCGCATGACGCTATGGCATTACATGACTGCGACGGGACTTCACGATGTCGTAGTCACGACGCCCCACTGACGTCGTGCGACGTCACTAGCAGTGCCCAGTTCATTGGTAACGCGTTCGGTGTACCCTGGTCTTTGCCGGGACGATGGAGCTGGGGGAAATCTTTCTCAGGGGAAACGAGGACGAGGACGTCCTGGACGTGGCTGTGGACCCCGACTTCGACTCCCTCATCCAGGAGTCCGAAGACCTGGAAGTGAGTCGCCTTTTCTGCCCCTCGGCGACGTCGATCTCGACACGTCGTGGCGAGCTGCCAAGGGAACACTTTGAAAACTTTCTGCGGTCTGCGTCTGCATTCTGGAGACGTTCGCTACTCGAGGGTGGGGACTGGCTGTTACTAGTGTTGCCTAGATAAAAGTAGAATGAAAAGGATATGGGGCCAGTGTTTTGCGAATCCCGGCGGAGAGGCGAAATTGAGTCTTGCGGTCGTCTAGCGATTTTTTAGACACCTAGATGTTAAAAATATTACGTTACATTATAAAATGTGTTGTTGACAGTAAATGCATAAAGGTAGCGCATGCAGCGGCAGAGGGAAAGGAATTTAAGAAGCCTAAAACAAATAACCACTTCGTGGGATGGCAACATTTTTGACATTGCTTATTTGGACGTCTTTGCGGGACCGTCACTTTTACCATAGATTTCCCATATAATCCAGAAATTTTGGATGCTGTCCAACACACTCGTAGACTTTTCAGACTTGGTTTGCACAGTAGAGAAGCTAGTTTGAGGTTTTAGCCGGGCTCTTTCTATTCAGACTTTTTACGCCTCTCAGAATTGAATTTGGAGGATGAGAGCTTACCATCTTATAAAGATACTGTGTAAAGTAACTCCGGTTTGGAATCTGGAACTGCCGGAATGTCGCGGAAGCGGACATGCCAAAGTGAAACCCAGTGGAACTAAGGTGACAGCGTTTTACCTTCAGTATTTCCATTTGATGCTTCTAAACCTAAACAGCTTGCAAGCACCGTACGTGCTGCTGCTAGATAGTTAAGAAAACCTTGACCCTTTCATTATACTATTCCTTTGCAAACAAAACCTAACCATAGGAAGCCTCTTTTGAGTAAAAAAATGGCTGCATGTATGGTTATTCTGCCAAACACATTTAAACATGGTAGCTTTATACAGCCATCGTTTGCAAAAAGTGTTTTCAAATAACCTGAAATTTTATTAAAATGCTTTTAATGTTCCACAAGTCTTTTTTTACTTTGGCATTGTTATTGCAGTGATTAATGCAATTTCACCTCACAAGAACAGAGTGTGGCAACCGTTGGTGGCACTGCAGTGGCTGTCATGGTGGTTTTTGTTGCTCTTGGCGGCGTTGCTGCTTGCGACGCCGAGTCACCACGTCCCGGGCTCGCCGGTGTCCGGATGGCTGCTGGGCACACTGCTGACGTTTTGCCGCCGCTGCAGCGAAACGTCACTGCATCAGTGTTTTGCACGCCCATGCAAGCCGGCCGTTTGTGTGCTGCTTTTGCGTGCCGTCGTTTCCGCCTTTTATTCTGAAGACCCTGACCTTGAGGCAGACGCCAGCATTTTGGTGGCGTTGTGAAGGCTAGAGGCTAACTGCTGCATGCAGAGAAGCTGGCTTTTGTATGGAAAAAAAGTTATGTTCAACGTCATTAGATTAGCTCAGTTACGAAACTGCTCATAGATGTTGCATGCATGAGCAGTACCCCTCCTCACTCACCACGACTCGCCTTCTGTCGTTCGACACACCGGACAGCTGCTATGGTAACTGCTGTGAATTCTATGGAATACATACGTTTCGAAGCACAGTGTCCAGATGGAATTCCACCGTACTCTATGGAAAACTCAGTTTGTAAATAAAAATCTAGATGGCGCTTGGAACAACGGGAGGCGCAGTGATGTGATTGCTGCGCCAATTGCGCCAAACTGCGCCAAGGGGCTAACCTTGCTACATCCTGCTACATTTCGCCGAAATATGGGTAATCTGTGCCAAGCCTGCGCCAAAGGACCAATTTCGGTCGCCTTTCAAAACCGAAACTAAACTGAGTACCGTAACTGAGCATGCGTGAGCTAGGTGGCGCAAGCGAGCCCCCGACAGAAAGTATGCTGCATCAATCGTCCATCCGGTCTCGCATGGTTTTTCTCGCCGTTCCTCATTTCGCGCTCTCGTGGGTCTCGTCCCGCATCTCCTGCATCCTCTTGAAAATATTTTAACAATAGATGCAAGCGTATATGGACGCCCCGACGCTAGCTTGCCGGGTACCAGCCATGCCGTCATGTTGTAAAACGAAACCACGTTTTTTGCGCATTGGGAGTATATACTTTGTGATCTGAAGCACTCGCTTCTGAAAGAAACGGCCGTGGCAAAACTATTTTTGGTCCCTGCCTACCAGTCGCCGTGGTTATGACTTCGGGTGTTCCTGTCCACACATTGCTGCAGATATGGCGCTTCCTAAAGTGAAACGTAGGGACCGCTGCAGGGTAACGAGCAATCCTGTCCTTGTTGAAATTAAACGCTACTACAAAAATCCCTCTAGCTCAAAGACTGTTGTGTCGAAGTACTGTTTACGTAGGTTTCTCTCGGTGGGATTTCTTTTGAGAGGGACCCCGGTACGTGAAAAGTCTGTCGCAAAAGAAAGTTTAAAGGGACAATGAAATGACTTTACTTTTTCCAGATAACTTTTACATTAAACCGTCAATGTTCACTGAATGCCGAACAGGCATCCGTTTTCGTCTCGGTTTATTAACTTCTACACGAAAAATTAATGAAATATCAACTTTTTCTTTCTCTCCAACTGACCGCAAAACAAGCTGTGACTTACGCTGTTTCCGGAACCGGAAGTTCTCTCGGCAGTAGGAGAATGGGAGCGTTAGCGGCGACGAGTTGGGGTGCGCCGGTAGGTTTTACTGCGCTGATGTCACCGACGTATTTTCTGAATCGGCGCCTCTCATCGCCGCATCGCAGCTGAGTGAAATTCAATGAGATATGTTGCGCTGCAGCGACAGCATGTGACTAGTCCCATACGCCGGTATGCCTGTTGGGAAGCGCGGCGAGTCTTCCAGTGAAGACTTCAGAAGTCAACCCAACTGCCATTGTTGGCAAAAGGCGGCCCGTGTCAGTCGTTTGCAAAGCGACGTAGATGGAAACAAATTGCCACGGCGTATTTCGCGGCCTCGGAGATGCAGGATCGAGCCGACGTTTAAAAAGATACGTTTGAACTACGAGTGTCAGCAAGAGCCACGTATACCTGTTCACACTCGGAGCGGATGCGCGCGTTTGATGGAAGTGCTGTATTCGCGCTGTTGGTAAGCGCTTTGGGACCGATCTTTTACGATTGCAACTCGATACTGATGCGACACTCGGCAAAGAAAGGTTGGACCGGCATTGCATGTATACCTCCCATGAACTGTTATAGCTCGACAGTGACGTGCAGTCTGTCAGAATAAAAATGGCATACCAATAACAAAGTGTACATACCGTGTCACGAAGGTAATCCATACGGCGTTTATTTCAGCTCTATATCACACAAAACAAGAAGATAGAATCAACGAGAGTCCCTTTTCGACGAGTGTTCGTCAACACTGCCTCGGAAAACAAGGGAAAGAGATTGACCTCACCTCTTAATCTAAAATTGAAGTCACCAATCAAACTATAATACGGGAAGGGTCCACAAGGGTAGCGCGCGCATATTCCATTCAGCACGCCAGCCGGTCGTAGGCAGACGGTCTTGCGACGAAGCAACGCTGCACCGAGTCGGAGTGCCTGCTAGGCCTATATTCTGAGCAGCTCGCTTCGTCGGAGTCGTTGGATTCGTGACCATTGTCGCTCTTCTTGGGTGTTTGTGGATCCAGCGTTCTTGTTCGTCGTGGTCTGTATTAAGTACTTTTTTTCTTGCTGCTTGAAGTCGGCACACGCTAGAAGAACACGTAGAAAAATAAACGTTCGGTCAGTCAGAGTTTTGAGAGGAAGGATATCAAAGGAAATAAACGTTCGTTGTGACCCAAGTAACTGAAGTCGGCCCTGCCCTACTGCGCACGCGCAGTAGTTGCTTCGTTTACCACACGATAAATGGCGCTTGGCTCTCAGCATTATCAAATTTGGCAATTTTCGCCACACATCTCTAATTATGCTACAAAATGTGGATCTGATTATTATTTAACAAAACTTGTAGGAAACATTCGTCGGCTATTTATTGTTTACGATCGCGGTGCTGGTGAGGTAGGCTCTTACCCAATAGGCGTTGTGGATTCAGCTGATGTGCTCCGTTTCCGCGGATGCATCGTAGTGAAAAGGCGAAGGAAAGAAGGCGCAAAAGAGTCCAGTTTTCTTTTAAAAGTTCTATAGCAAATAATTTTTTCTGGCTCCCTATTTTTGGGTATTTCTGTTTCTTTTCACACCTTTTACGACGTGCGGTGGAAGAAATTTGATTTTAAAATCATTTCATGGTCCCTTTAAGACAAGTTAGCTACAGCAAAAAAAGGCAATGTCTGCACGCTGAACCCGCACAGCGCGCTTGTTTATCTTGAGTTCAGTTGTTGCACAAAGCGCTCCAAGAACTTTTTGACCCTGACTCGCGATGTCTTGCATTGATGCGGTCAGGTTCTTTTTTTTTATTAGCTTTATTGTTCTTGTTTTGTTTGCGCTTTTTAACCTTTTAAATTAGCATGTGCCTCACATACTGGCCTGGCAAGCACGCGCCGCTGAACTGTTTTTCTTTTTTTTTTATGCTGGATTGTTACATTTTGCATACAATTTTTAGGGACCAGATGGCGACAAAGCGGAGTGGCAGAGTTTCGGTTTCGATCGAACAGCCGTCTCCGTTCGCACAACGAAGTGTGTGCAACTGCATGCTGCCGAAGTTGCCCTCACGTGCATGTGAACATGATTGCACGACAGAGGTACCAGCCGGGACGCTTGCAATCCATTGCTTTACATTTGCTTGCTTCTGACAAAAATCTGGCATGTCGGGAACCAGTAAAACAGTGGGAGACGTTTTGGAATTGCTCGGCAATGTCTACAGCACTGTACACTTGTGGGATGCCTCAACGTCTCTTTGGAGACATTGAAAGTGGACATTCATTACTTGCCGAAAGCTAAGCGAGGCTTGCAGCAGCCTTGCAGAAAGTTTCAACATGCAAAAGGAAAAGCACCCACCAGTCGTACTGCACCTTTTTCATATGTACAGTTTCGTATTGCATTGCAGTAGTTATGTGTTTCAGCAGTTGGATACTGCTTCAATTTATTATATTCTATAACGAGTGAAGTTTCTGCTTTCATATTTACTGCTAAGCTGGTCATTTTCAAATAAATTTAATATGGGCAATTTGGTTCTTATTTATCTATAGCGGGTACATATATATATATGTATCATTTAATTGAAGCATTGCAAAATATGTTGTGTCATTGACATTTAAGTTAACAACTTGAAAGACTCCCAGGTCGTCTAACTTGACCATAATTTGTTTATTGTGGCGAGCAAAGTGCCCTTCCTTTGTCCAGCACTTAAAACAAATATTTTTATTTTTATAAAAAAATCTGCTCCAAAAGCCACTTTTTGCTACTCCGAAACACTGTTTTGGCTGCTCCAAAAGCCACTTTTGCTGCTCCAAAACACTTTTGGCTGCTCCAAAAGGTGCTCCAAAATGGCTTAGGACAATCACATCACTGGAGGCGGACTGAAGTGAGAAAGGGGGGGTTCCGTCCAAGGGTTCAGAGCCGTTTTGAAACTTGTACCTTGCCGAAGATGGCCTCGTCACCTGCAGAAAAGACAAACAGCGCACGCAGTGATGTGATTGCTGCACAAAATGCGCCAAGGGACTAACTCTGCTACATCCTGCTACATTTTGCCACAATATGGCTAATCTGCGCCAAAGGACCAATCTTGCTCGCCTTTCAAAAACTAAACTAAACTGAGAACCGTAATTGAGCATGCGTTGGCTAGGTGGCACAAAACACCGCCCGACACAAAGTACCCCACATCAATCGTCTATGCGGTCTTGCATGATTTTTCCCACTGTCTCGCGTTTCGCGCTCTCGTCGTCTCAAAAATCTCGTCGCGCATCTTCCTTTCTTATTTTTTATTTTTTTAATTTTTTAGCGATAGACGCAGGCGTGTGCGGACACTCCGATGTTAGTGTGCTGGGTTCCAGACATGCCGTCATGCTGTGAAACAAAACCATGTTTTTGCACGGCGAGAGTTACTTTGTGAGCTGAAGCGCACGCGCGACCACAGTGCCGTTTTCGCGCAACGTCGTGTGTTGCCGTCCCCACGTCGCTGTAGGTATGCCGCTTTTTAAACTTTAACGTATCGACATTCCTGCTCCTGTTTAAATCATACGCTGCTATAAAAATCCCTCTTTAACTCAATGACTGCTGTGTCGAAGTATTGATTACCTAGGTTTTTCTCGGTGGGCTTTCTTCCGAGAGGGACCCCGGTACGTGAAAAATCTGCCGTGAAAGAAAGTTGGTGACGAGAAGTGAGCTAAAGCAAAGAAGGCAATGTCTGCACGCTGAACCTGCACAGCGCACTTGTTTGTCTCGAGTTCAGTCGTTGCACAAAGCGCTCCAAGAACTTTTCGACCTGGCTCACAATGTCTTGCATCGATACACTCTGCTTCTTTTTTTCTGTGTGTTTAGCTTGTACCTTGCCCGCCGGCCTGGCGAGCTTGCGCCGCTGGACTGTTTATTGTCGTATTCTGGACGGTTACATTTTGTACATGTATACTATTTTGGGAACCAGTTGGCGACGGAGCGGAGTGGCATGGTTTCGGTCGAACAGCCGTTGTCTTCGCTCGCGCGACGAAGCACGTCTAACTGCAAGCCTGTCAAAGTTGCCCTCACGTGCATGTGAGCATGATTGCATGAGAGGAACCAGCCAGGACGCTTGCAAGCCATTGTTTTACGTTTGCTTACTTTTTATAAAAATCTGCCACGTTGGGAACCAGCAAAACGAAAGCAAGTGTTTTTTTTTTGTTGTTTTTTTTCGGAATTGCTTGGCAACGCCTACAGCACTAAATACTTGTGGGATGTCTCAGCAGCAAAAACACAAGCAGCGAATTTCGCCCCAACACGTCACACCACAACACAACACAAAGTGCCCTTCATTTGTCCAGCAGTTAAAACAAATATTTATTTTTCAAAGAATATATGCTCCAAAAGTCACTTTTTCTGCTCCGAAACACTGTTTTGGCTGCTCCAAAGGCCACTTTTGCTGCTCCAAAAGGTGCTCCAAAATGGGTTAGGCCAATCACATCACTGTGCACGGTAAACGGGGACTAAAGGAAGTGCAAACAGCACAAGCGCTGACTCTCAACTGAACTTTAATCACATGAAAACAAAACAAAGAAAACAGAAAAACCTGCCCCGGAACTGCGCAGAGCCAGGGCAGCGTGCGGCCAGCACGCACCACTCGGCCGCCGCCTTCGCCGTCGACGCGGATGGATCCCAAGCAGGGCCCACCCCCGGAGGTGCCGGCCACGCCCCCCAGGAGCGAGCCTGCCGCGTCCCCCGCCTCGAGCAGCGTGGAGAGGGGACGGGGCTCCCGCGGGGGCGAAGCCAGCGTCGCGGAGGAAGAGGAGGACGACGAGGAAGATGACGAGAGCGTGACGGAGGAGCGCCGCCGGGGCCGCTTCAGGGCGGAGCGCCGGGCGGGCCTCGGCGGCTCTGCGGCCAAGAAGAGGCAAGGCATCCCGGACTCCCTGGGTGAGCGCTCATGGAGAGCCTGGCTGTGATTGACCCTACGGTTACAAGGTGCAGTCGGAAAGTTCCGAGACTGATTGAATTTGTAGCGTAAAAAGAGAGGGCAGCATGGGGATATGCTTGCAGCGGTCTAATGCGGGGACATGCCAAAGCCCGTCGTTTTGTCAACATTTAGAGCCGAGCTATGCAAATTTATGCTATCATTTGCATGAGCATAATGGCGATTTCACGATAGACTGTAAAACCAGTGGGAGAGAGAGAGAGTGAACGTCAATTCTGCAACAAACTCGGCTAACCTGAAAGAGGGACCTTTAAAATCATTCGGCGGAATTAACGTCAAAAAGCAGTGAATCGTGTGAACCTTTTTTAGTAGCACTCACATTTCAAGAATGGCAGAACGTCACTGGAAGACAAAGGGAGGTCAAAGAAGGTTGCTCTTCCTTCGTTTTCCCGCGATGTTCTGCCTCTCTGAAGCGCAAGTGCTACTCAAAACACTTTGCACAATTCACTGCTTTTTGACATAAGCCTGCCGAATAATTTTAAAGGTCTGTTTTAGATTTGCCGAGTTTGACGCAGAAATAATGTTTGCTCTCGCTCTGGTTTGCAGTCTATGGTGAAATTGCCACTGTGCATGTGGTCATAAAAGCTCGTCTAGCGCAGCTTCTGAGGTTCACAGAAAGATGCCATGTAGCATAATGACGCAGCAAGGTTTTTGCTTTCGACTGCCACGCTTGCATCACCGTGCTGCCTTTTCCTTCTACGCTTCAAGACCAGTTTTGGAAATTTTTGATGGCACCTTGTACAGTTCGTTTCAAATGGGATATCCTGTCTGAGGGAACCCTCCACACTTATGCATCCGTGGCTTAGTTTGCATCCAACGAATTAGGTAACATGCACCTGTCATATGCCTACTTCAGTTATGCATACAGGAGGTAATGCGCTAACAAGTGTGATTTATCGCGTGTGGAACACGTGTGGAACAGCAAATACAGTTAACGAGGGTGCTGTTATCTCTATATACGTGTTTACTCCACCGGGTTTTTCAACGGAGGCTCTCGAGAATTCCTGCCACTAAAATGTTATAATTAAAATAAGAACACCGACTTGACATAACAGAAAAAACAACTTCATTAGACGTCTCGCTTCCCATGCGGGAGACATCATCAGTAGTTACACAGCAAATGCAGGGTTCAACCTCAACTCAACGCTATTTATCACGAATGTTGAGCGTTGAGTTGAGGTTGAACCCTGCATTTGCTGTGTAACTACTGATGATGCCTCGCGCATGGGAGGCGAAACCTCTAATGAAGTTGTTTTTTCTGTTAGTCAAGTCGGTGTTCTTATTTTAATTATGACGTCTCCCGGCTTTTGGAGTATTTTTTGCATAAAATGTTATAAACAAAAAAAACTTTTGAATTGAGTTGTTAGTGATGGATTACTTCAGGGATATCAAAAGTACTAATTAGCTAACTAATTAATTAATGCTTACCGATTTGCTTTTAAATTACTAAACATAAACATATTGTTTCAGTTAAAAACTTGCTGTCATCGAAAATTCCTAAATCGGTCAATTTTCAAAAGGCTTAAAGCAGGTATGAGGCGGGGGCTGAGCTAAAGATTGCACTCGTGCAGCAGGCACAGAGTGAGCGTCGCAAAAATGCGGATGGTGTTCTTATCGTCTGCGTTCACTTGTCACCAGCAAGTTTGGGTAGCTCAAAAAAATCCGCAGCTTTCCACCACGGTGCGTGAACGAGCGACAAAGATAGCTGTTGTTGCGCGTAATAACACCCGCCTTTATGCGTGTCTTCATTTACTCAATCACGCACTTGTGTCCACTGAGGTAGGTAGGAAATGTGACGCACACAGGAGTCCCTGCCCAAGACTAAATCGAGACAGCTGCCATGAAAGGGGAACACAGGCTAGTGATTTAACTCCCGAGTTACTCGAGCGACCGGAATGAAATTTGTAGGCGAGATTTAACGACAGATGTATGTGTATCGTGCAAACTTTCAGCTCTCTAGGACAATTTCGCATACTTGCATAAGACACTCTTTTGACTGCTAGAATATAAAGTGGGGGATGTAGGACTTTGGGCTGTCTAGTTTTTATAACTCGAATGTAAATATTTTAGGAAGAGTTATTACCCCAAAATATGAGATGCCTATCTGTGCAATATGAATTTTTGAAATTTTTTCTAAATAAGGACTTTAACGTAAAACAAAATAAAGTAGATAGCCCAATTGCCCAGTAAATTTCAGTTCAGACACATCTTGATGGTGGTATCAGAATACTTTTACCTTCGAACAAAAGATTCCTTCGTATGAAATTTGCAGCAAAAAGTGGAACTAACAAAAATGCATTTCAACATTGAACTCTTTGTTAACTGCCTCACAATGTGTTGAAAAAATTTTATGTCAACGTAACTACTCTATGGTTTTCAAATTCAGTGTAAGGGTGTAAATTAGTTTCTAAAACCGAAGACATAAAATTTAAAAAATAAACTTAAAAAAAGATATATAGGCCCATGTCCCCCCTTATAAGTGGTGGGTTGCTTTACACTTGGTAGTACGCACAAATTGAGGTCTACAGTGCAGAATTTTTAGTTTCATCCCCCGCCAACCATAGAAGACATTGCCACCTTGCAAGAGCCAAGTGCATGTGCTTTGCCTGGCTCCACAGTGTGATGCACGCGTGAGTGCGTGTAGCGCTGCGAATGCTGCCAAGGAATTCCTATAATGACTCTCACTAAAAACTGCCAGGGGGGGGTGCAATGGGAAAACTGTGTTGCACCCCCCCTTTAAAGGGGGAGTGCAACGATTTCCAGACTTGGGTCAAAAATTTGTGGAAGTTTCCCTCTGACACTTCTGAAGTAAAGAACAGAAAACCGATTTCACCTGCGTGTCCTAGTTGTTGCGTAAAATAAATATAAATATTGGCATTCCTGGCAGGCCTCAACTCACTCCCAGTGTTCAGGGTCCCACCTGGTCGCACTCCTAGTGACGTAATTCGGGGTGAGGTTCCCGTGTGCTCTTTCGGAGGACGCTTCCTCCCTCTCTCTGCGTACATTAGCGGGCGTTATGCTGCTGCTTAGAGCCAAGCGAGGTCACGTAAGCTTCTCTCCTAAGTTCCTTCGGCTGCCACTCGCAACTGCAGGTGGGGGAAAAAGCTCGACTTTTGATTCGCGATTATGCAGTGGAATCGCAACATTTTTTAATGAGAGATGTTTTCGCTGTCCTCCGGGACACGATAAAACATTGTAAAAATGACGAGATGCAAATTCTTTTAACCTTAAAATCGTTGCACCTAAAGATGGCTTATCACTTTACGGTCTGTGGTTCCTCTTCTTTCGTGCAGACTCGGTGATCAGCGCTGAGGACGCAGCCAAGGTGGATGCCTACATGAGCCGGGAGGACGAGAGGAGGCGGGCCGGGCGCCACGGCAGAGGGCGGGGCTCCCAGGGGTTCCGCCCCCACCAGCAAAAGGTCTTTCGTGTTCCCTCCTCCGCTGTCGCGCAATCCCTGCCCTTCGGCATTCCTGTTTCTGTGGTCCTTTGGAAAGATGCTAAAATGGATCCCGAGACCGTGTCTTTACGGCAGGAACTCGGTCTACGAGGCCTTGGGAATCTAGAAGACCCGAAATTAAAATCGTGCGTTGCCATTTTTTTTTTATTAAAAGTGCCACCAAACGTTGCATTACGCCATTTCTGAGATATAGGGTGGTACACGCGGGCCTTCCGCCGTAAAGCGAGTCGGGAGACTCAGCGTTTGCACATACAAAGCTCAAAACTTTCACCGGATGTGCACTGTGCGGATCACTTTTACCCCGTGAAATTTCAAGGCATAGTTAGGCATAGTTTGCCCTGTTAAAAACGAGGGCAAAACACTCTTCAAAGTCAAGGTCGGGTGCACTTTCAGACGATCGGGTTAGCGACGACATCTGCTTGCAGCGCCTTCTCCTGATAGGCGTAGCGAGCAGACGACGCACTACGTTGTCCGCTCGCTGCGTTTATCGAAAGATGGCGCCACGAGTAAATAGCGTTGCTAACTGCGTCATCTGCAAACGCACCCAATCTTGACTTTGTCAAGTTTCTCGCTAATATATCTCTAAATATTTTGTGGTAAAACTGACATGCACAGTGCGCATCCGGTGAAAGTTCGAGATTTCCATGTGCAGGCGCCGATTGTTTTGGCTCGTTTTACATCGGGAGATCTGCTCGAGACACCCTATGAGTCAGAGAGAGGGGTGTGCCACGATGAGCTTGCGTCATAAAAAGATGACCTTAAAATCCACTTGTGACAGAACGGGAACGGCTGGGAGGTCCTTCGGTTGCTCGGCTCCAGCACGAGACACCTTCGACAGTACTTTGCGGTCTCGTGAGCTTGGAATGTGTATGTGCAGCCATAGTACGCCGGAAGGCGACATGGGCACGCTGAAGCTTGGGTATTTGAACAAGACGCCCCGCTGTTCTTGTCTTCTTGGGTGGAGAAAAGAAGAAGACGTTGTGGGTTACACGTGTGGATGAAGCTCCCGGGGACGAGCCTTTCCGCAGGGTCCTTCTGACCAAATATTTTTTCCCACAAATATCGGTGTTCCCCCGCACGTTCGGCAGTGCCAGTACAAAGCATTACGAGCTGCTCCCTCGAATTGTGGATGCAGCAAGTCTGCTTTTGACAGCTTGAGTGCTCTTTTCTGATTCACTGGACGGTGGTGCATGGCCATTCTTAGTTGGTGGAGTGATTTGTCTTCTTAATTGCCAGAATGGACAAAATTCTAGCCTATTAAATAGGCGCCTGGCCCTTTGCACTTTGCTCCATTCTTTAGAGAAGCAAGCGGCTTCTAGCCGCACGAAACTGAGCAATGACAGGTTCGTGACGCCCTTAGCCGTCCTGGGGCTACACGCGCAGTGCACTGAAGGGAGCTGTGTGTTTTTATGCCGGTCTGTAGACTGGGCAACCCGTGGAACCTCCTTTTGTGATAGAGATGGGACTTGCAGTTGTTCCCCTGAAATGAGAAATTCTCAGTATGGGAGCTCGACTCGTAAGCTCAAACTGATTATGTTTGGGGTTTCGTGTTTTCGCAGCTGATTGTTGTTGTTTTTTGTTTGTTTGGGGGTGTTTTTTTAAGGCTTAATGTTTTTGTGTCAATTTTCGGTGTCCCACACAAAGTCTGCTTTAATCTGGGATAGTCTCGAAGAACGGGACACGGGCACGGGATTCCCCGACCCCGAGAATAAGTATAAAATTGCCCTCGGTCATGGATGAAGGTTTTTCGTGCAGGGTTTATCTTTATCAAGGACAGCTCCAATTCAGGGTTTTTCCAATTTCTCCGATTTTGATAAAACCTGCTCGAGGGTTAGTTTTCGGTGTTTATTTGTTTTTATTTTTTTATTTCGTACCCACATTGACCAGTCAGCACCTCCTAGAAAAGAAGGCCGTAGCGCTCTTCTTGTGACGTTGCAAAGGAAGGCCATTGGGGGTGCGCGTCGAAGTGAAGGCAACGTGCTTGGAGCGACCGTCGTAACGCTCTTTTAGCCACATGCGCGTGTCTTATTAGCTAAAATGAAAGCTGCAGATAGCAACAGGTCTAGAAAATATTTTATTACATGGGCGAAACATTACACCGCTAAATAATCGGTACAAAATGGCACAAGGTATGGGTATGAGACGTCTATAGAAAAATGTGATTGTTTTAAGTGGAAAACATTGAGTCACACAATTATTGCTGTAGGATTGCGTATTTTATACAGAAATACTTCGACGAAATGCCGAGACACGCAGTGATTGGACACAGCAAAACAGATCACTGTTAAAAATCAGGTAGACGTAGTCAACGCGGACACGGCTAGACAAGTATCACTTACGATCATGTAAGCGATGTTATCGCGTGCAGTCACTGAATTCTTGCATCATGTCCCGGCCACATGATAAAATTGATGCAATTTCTATCGAATAACGTTATAGGGTCGACAAATCAGCTCGCGACGCTTGTATAATCACTCAAGACCGCGAGCTGATTAAATCTTGTATCTTTTGATGAACGTATATTAACTTTTCCGTGTGACAGGGGTACAAAACTTACTATTTACAGTCAACTAATTTACTTCTCCCTATGAGCTCGAGCTGCCTTAGAACAAAATATAACTTATTTTGTATGCAATAATAGTATTACCTTAAGGGGGGGGCTGTCCCTTGGAGGGTCTACTTTTTAGGTACTGGTGCTCTTTCAATGAAATTGGCAGGGTATATTAGGCATGCAAACTTGGGAAGCTACACCAACTTTCAGCTGAAAAGGTCAATGTCGTGCCAAGTTACAGCCTCATATATCAAAAATATTATACAACTAGTAGTGCCGAGGGAAAAAAAACGTTCAGCCTTTCCACTCTCGTAAAGAAGGAAGACCAGCAGAGCTGTACTCAATACACTGTGTGCTTCTTCTTCGTCATCGTCTGTTTTTCGTGCTGTTTCCTGCGATGAATTCCCACCAACGCGCCTAACTATCTATTTGTCTATTATAGCTGGAAAGGTTGCCGCCATCTATGAGCAATGGCGGCAACCAGACTGGTTGTGTGCTTGCCGCCGTCGCTTATAGATGGCAGTAGCTGCCCAGGTAGGCTTGTGTCGACATGCACAAACACGATCCTGGGGAACCTAGCCCTAACAGCTGGGCTGTAAGACTATCGTTACAATATAGTACCAAAATGTCACAATTTGTTTGCTTGGATATAAGGACGAGTGACTAAACTAATCGGTAATGTGTTTCAAATAATTTTCAAGTGTCATATGTGGCGTTAAAGTAAATTCGAAAAAGGGGTTCATTTCATTCATTTTTTTCTGTTACAAAAGTCTCCTTTTTCTCGCTAAAGAAATAACAATCTTGAAAAAGTAAGCACATAGTCGAGTTCTCCAGTAAGTTTTACTCCAGAAAAACCGCACAGTCGTTATAAAAATACTTCAGCCATCGAACAATAGTTTTTGAGAAATTAAAAAATAGTCAAAACATGAAGCTGAGGAAAACGCGTTTGAAAATCCATATTGTGTTCCACTTTAAATGGCGCTTGCCACTTGAATTAAAATGCTCCAGAAGCATACATCAGTCTCTGCTCTGCATTGTTTTTCTGTGCTTTGGCCGCAGCTTCCATCTTTTGTCTCTTGTGCAATCCTTGGATGACTCGAGTGCCTTCATTTGGGCCTTTGCAACCTTCGTCCGAGTGACCTTCACAGCCTGTGATGTCTGGTGGCTCCCTGGCTCAAAGCCTCGAGGACCCAGATTGAAGACTGTGAGAGCCACGGCACACTTAGAGAAGCGACCTTTGGGCACCTCTTTCAAATAGGCATTGAAAGAATCATTCGCCATCCGGGTTTTAATCTGGGAACATCTTTCAAGCAAATGCCTCTGTGACAGGCGGTTGTACAAGGACACTAGCTCCTTCGCTATCTTTTTGGAGAGGGCTGGCTTATGTGGCCGAGATGCTGGTGATTCTGTCGCTTCCTCGAGGACCTTGCTTCGGTTCAAGTGGCACCAGGAGTCCGTCCCAGTGGAACAAGCAATATGAATTGGCTCTTCGTCGGAGGGGTACAAATGCAGGAGACTGGCATACACTCCACACTGCATGGGGTATAGGGTCACGTGGCAGGTTTGAGCGAATCAGAGTTCCTTCTTCACCAGTGTGGCCAAAAAGAGAGCGTGTAGTGTTGTTTCCCATGGGGTTTCACGTTTGGTGCGCACTCTGTCTCAGAAGAAGCTCTATACCGAAAGAGGGAGGCTTAAGCACTCTTTCCGATGAGGGGTGCCTGTCTGTGCTAGGCCTAATGAACACAGAGCGAGCGTGCTTTGAGAGTGGCAAATTTGTACGACCACAAGCATTTTTACGAAGTTCGCTCGGCTGCCGGTACGTCACAAATAATTTATTTCAGAGTAAATACTTTATTTACAGGAATAAAATATTTTGACAGCATTCTTCAGGAGTTACAAACTGATTGGACTACTTTTCAAAAACATGACTTTTTTTAAAATTTTAAGGCCTGTTAAGTTAATACAGTTAAGATTCTAGTATAAACATGGTAAAGGCAATAAAATGGCATTAGTATAAATAAGCACTAACAACGCACTTTGTATAACCACCCAAACTTGTTATTCACCTTCCGGTGAACACTAGAATATTACCACGCATATTTACAAATGTTGACGCAACTGCACAAGGATAACGACGAAGAACAAGATTCCACTCTAACTCGAAATAATAATTAAAAAAAAAAAAACTGCACCACTTTACTCGCGTCCCACATGACCAAGAAAGCCCGTAAATAAGTTGTTTCTCACCTGTCGATCGTATTCATACGTCCCCCATTATCTGGCACGAAAACATTTGAACACAAACTCCAAGAAGCCTCTCTCTGTTGAGAGAGAGGTCTACCGATAATCGACCAGTGTCATCGTTGAGTAGTTGACACACATGTCACTCAAACTGTAGCAGATCTGCAAA